AACGTCAATTAATTCAAGATATCCGAGGTTCGAAACGATGACTAAGTAAAGAATACACAGGGACCCAGCCTGTACTTCGAGGCAACAAAGTTCGACACACCGGTGTTTGACTGTAACATGATCATTATTAGAGGTAGTAAATCGATATAGAGTATAGGCATAGGCAAAGTTTCGGAATATTTCAACAAATCGCAGCAGGTTCTCCATAGCCATAGCTTGACACATTTTACCCATATGGGGAATCGTACCTGGGTCTCTTGTTTGAAGAGTTAACGCTTAACAAGAAGGTTACCTGACATCATCAAGAATTCTCACAATGTCAGCAGTGAAAAAATGAATGAGCACAATTTACACGTTTTTGACCTTGCTAAATTCCACCCAGTGGCCTGTCCTACAATGTATTGTGTATATGTCACCTCAAGTGAACATCTTTAGAACGAATTACTAAAGAGAATAATGAATTATAAAGTTTAGAACAAGCTGTTTGCATATTTTATTTTTATTTTTAGGTGCAATTATATATTATATTTTTTTCTATTTTAGATGGGGAAAGATTAGTGAATTGAACTTTGGTTTTCAATTGTGGCAGTATGCATCATATACTCGAATGAAATGGTAGCTATAAACTGTGTAACTACACAATACGGTGTCAGCAATGGCCGTTACATTCGACCAACAATTGCTGACGTGCGCTTTATCACATAATTCAACCGATCCTAAATTTCACGCAGGTTTTCACAGAGGACGTTAGGCCAAATCCGGAAATTGCACAGTATCAATGACCTTAATCTCGCTGAAGGAGTTGGGTAGAGCCACACCAATAATAAGTGATGGGGAAAATCGCAATGATTAATGATGCACAGTCACCAGACACACTTGATCTGGTGCTGCACTAAAGTCATCACCGGGAATTTTGAGTGATGATTTCAAATTCAAACATTCACTTGACAACGTGGAGATTCCATATATCACCATTTACCATCTTTCGTTAACAAAGGAAAGCGGGGTCGAACAGTACAATATGCACATTGTTGAGTGAATGTCATCACTCCTAATTAGCGTGGATGGCTACTCGCGTGTTTTTCTGACCGCGATTTCAAAATAAAAGGCCCCAGTAATACACAGTTTATACTATCATTTGAGCAACCACGCAGTATTCCCTTGACATAATGACATATGCATCAGAAAGTATGACCAATACACCAGTTTCAGTGCAAACCCATGCAATCCGATTTTTCTGCGAACATCGATATATTCTGTCTGGCATAACGTAAAGCAGCCTCAGCAAGAAGTCTGAACTTAACATGGATGAATTAACAGACCATTTATAACTAAGTCTATTGGCAGTGTCTGACGGTGTCCATGACAAGGTTTATCCAAGAGTAAAACCAATGTAACAAGGTACTCATTAACCCTTTCAACACCGTCAAAATGAGACATAATTTTAGGAACTTGCCTGACTTATGATTCATATATTAAATCCATCACATTTCACAATGTCTGGAAACAATTATTAAATTTCAATTGATCATATATTATCGGCAGAATTAAAATTATAAACTATTTTTCGCAATGTAATTGAAAACAACGATTCTCGGACACATGCTTCAGGAGCGGGTCCACAATAACATTGTCAAAGAGCAAAGTAACGATGTTTCGAGGAAATGATTAAATAAATAGAATAAACTAATGAATAAAATCAACAACAGCATTCATAAAAGTTGTCAAACGTACATATAAAATTACTTTTTCCATCTTTTTGTGCGATCATGTAATGCAAGTCAAGTCACTGACAAGTGACATCTCGGCTCTCGCCGCCTCAATCTTCACGCTCGGACACGATGTTTAATGCGAAAATATATGCATGAAGCATTTTTGTCACAGGTCATAACCTAGCACGATACGTCCAATAAGTCCCATAATTTACGTATATGTAGCGATTTCTTGCTTAATATGTTCAGAATAGCATTATTTTACCCAAAACTTTCGTCTAAATCTAAAAGTTTTCGTTTACGAGGACGGTATCCATTGCCGTAATATGATTGGCTGCCTTAGGTCACGTGTCTGATTTTGACCAATCACGACCCTTATAGCAGACTGTAGCGAAAAAGCGTCATTAGAAACCAATTTTTATCCAATAAAATCGCTTCTTACAACTGTGAAAATACTCTCGGCAAGGGTTCAGTGATGTTGTTGATGTTCAGAGCTTTCGAACGATACCCGACATCAAACGATTCGCCTCCCATGTTATTCATACGAAGCTTCGAACGGAGGTATTTTCCGTTGTTATGTCATGTTACCGAGCGGAAAGCCACAGATATCGGGAAATAGGCGACCATACATATTATTTAAGAAATCTTTTTATAATAATTTTCTGATTACGTAAAAGTGAAAATATAAAAGAAAAAGGCACGGGCATGTTATGACATGTCACAAATGGAAAAAAAATCGCCTTAGTTTTTGCTTCTTTCGTGGTTTATCTGGACGTTATAAATGTAAGCTTGCATTTTCATTCAAAATAAATTTTTTAAGTTGTAGTTGTATTATTTGAATAATATTATAAAAATAAACTTCATATTTATCAACAGTAGGATTAGATCTTTTAAATGGTGTCTGGGATGTAGTAGCAATAACGTTTTGCAAGCTTATAATTTCCTTCATAAACATAGGCTTCATCTATGAGCTCAGAGTCTCTGGGAACTCGGTGTCATGGCAGTAAATGCTTCTGGTTGACTGGTGTTGAAAGAGTTAAACGTGTTACAGCTCATTCCCCTCTCATCGTTCGCCCCCAGATATCTTGACAACCGTGATATGTCTTTCTCAATACTTCCCTCCTAATAACCTTGCCTCTGTTTTATAGATTTAGCTGATGGTGTCAATTAGTACCAGAAAGCAAAGCTATGGTATCAGAAGGGTCACGCCATCTGAGGTGAATGACTTGTTCGGATACAATAGTATGCTTGGTGCTCATCAGGTTGTTAATGTGCATGACATCGATTTTGACATAGGTGAATACAGACCTCTCTTTGACAGTGGTTTTCAGCAGTGGGCAGCATTCAGTCACACTTTCGCACCCGATATCATTACTTTATATAGTAATTCATTAACTTCCTTATTAACTAAACATAACGCATATTTCTTTATCATGAAATACATCATAAAAATCATATTATAACAATATTTTACGAATATCCCCCTTCATCACTGAAATGAAAAGACGGCGGATTTGAAAGGACATTTTTTTGGCAACATTATTTACGTGTCGTATACCGTGGCCGTACACACACACGCGCACATGGCACACACACACACACCCGAGATCGTGTGCTAGTTATTACATATACGAAATTTAAATCTTATATTTAAAGTCACTTTACAGCCAAGTGTGCTAGTTATTACATATACGAAATTTAAATCTTACATTTAAAGTCACTTTACAGCCAAGACAATAAAATGTAAACACTGAAATCATTGCGATGTGACATGAATCTGTGTGAACAAATCATACAGAAAACTACGATTCTAACAAACACGCTGATAATAAACTGATGGCTACAACGACCTGGTTTTAGAAGCCCAGACCACTTCCTGTACATTGTAGCCGAAATGCGCTTAACGAAGTACAGTTATACCGAACTAAATTAGGAGTCCCTTTGAGATCATTACAACCATATTTAGTTTGTTTATTATAATCGAGTCTGGACCAGAAAATCCAGTGATCAACAGCATGAGCATCGATCTACGCAATTGGGATACGATGACATGTGTCTGTTAAAGGAGAATTTTTGACAAACCCTATACTCTATTATTTCCCAACATTAGAGCACATTTCAAACTGCAAAACTAATATACGAAGTGTTTTTAGTTTCTATATGGACTATATTTACAAATTTGTATTCTCGAATGAATTGATGTTAGAAATGCCAGTGTATATATCTGGACATAGTTTTACCTTTAGTTGGCATACATCAACCTCTTACATTGTCACACTGGTTCAGTGTATAGGCTGGGCAATTGTCCCTCCCCTTCTCACACAACACATACATTGCTCTACTCCAAATGCTCTTCTGTACAAAGCAGCTGTGTGTCGAACAATATTCAAACTTTTAGGACCCAGTGGAAGCTTCGTCAGGAGACACATGAGGCGCTTCAGTCTCTAATTAAAAATGCTTCAATTGAAAGAACTGACACGAGCAATCGTCAGATGCCCCATAAGAGAATAACAAGGATACTCTGTAATGAACATTGTAAAACCCCACTGATGATTATAATTATGTTCTTCTCTTGAAGCGTATTTCTTTGAGAATGTAACTGACTTGAAAGATATTACCTTACCGTAATTCAACGATTCCCTGACCAAACAACAAGATCTGATCGCTTGGATCCCTTTTGTGTTATGTCAAGGAGGGAGACGGGGGTTTTGCGTTGAAGACATCAGATGATGATGCTTTTATCATATCAAGAAGTTAACTTTAATTAAGTTATTGAATGATATACCGATATGATATTCATGATATATATGTAACTTTCATTTTATCCATGTGTACTACTCAAGAGAATTCAATATATCATGGCTAGTGGGTATTGCAACAATCATCCGCTTTGATTGGAATATAATATATAATAGAACATGCTAGCGAAACTTCTCTGAATTGAAGTATACAAAATTATTTTTTGTGTTTACTTTGTTGGAAATACCTTGATCTGCTCGTTGGTATCTCCAGACCTTTTTTTTTTATTTCGTCCAACCACAAACTGACAACCTAATTCCAGTCTTGTTCACAGTGACATTACAAGCTCATTCGGTCCAATTGCTATGTCATGCTGCACCAATTCTTGTACTTATCGCTCCATTGAGGATCAGGTTGAGATGTGTCCTTCAGCTCCCCGTGTTTATGGCGACAAACGAGATCAGGTGGCTGTTTGATGTATGACATCTTATTCCGATGGTATGGATCGATGCTCATAATGTTCTTCATTGGATTATCTTGTACATTAAGCAGAAAACAAAACAAAAAGCGTGTCATTACTGAATTACCTCCACATAGGGAAATGACATAATAATCGACAAACACAATTGTTCTTAACCCTTTGACCGTAAAATGTAAAATAATAATCTTTTTGCTTGCTAAGGTTGCAATTACATATTGGTTAAAGTTAGTGTTAAACTATTTCCACTGGAGTACACTGCCCCTACTCCAGACAAAGAAATACATCATTGTCATATCGATTTCCTGTACTCATTGATTTATCTCTAATTTGCTGCTTGAACTGATTGTGCTCAATAGTACCAATTGCATAAATACCAACCGAATATTGTTGTGGGGACGTATTGATACACTTCAAGACGTCTATACATCTGTACACGAGACTGATTTACCTACACATTGTTATACCCAATATTCCGGGACTGTCACACCAGGGTAGCACAGATTGGATTCTGTCATACATATGTCTCTTGCTAGTTCGGCTGTTAGAATATCATTTGAAACATGAATTCTAAGTTACAAGCGAGATTATATTTCCATTTGATCATTTGATAGATAACTCCCTCGTGTCAAACATATATGTATATGTATGCTCTCAGGTCGTATATTCTTGGATTCTACGTAGTCTAATGTAGGAGTTTTTAAGCTTGTCAAGTGACGAAAAGCCAATCAATTGTGCAGTGTATAAAAAATAGTGTTTTTTATATATGTAACATATTTCCTCAGACAAACCTCAGTGGCAAACTGTTCCACTGCCCTTTTTACCAATTTTCCAATACACGTGTACAATTATAGTCAGTTTGTGTAATCTTCACCAACGTCCTAGTTTAGGAAATTGAAATGACACCTGTTTTATACTATTCGATATTATTCTCTGCTGAAGCTATAAACGTCGACCCTAGCTGCATGAGTTATTTCATGTGGTATGTGTTGTTTGTCCCAATGGGATAGTAGTCATGCAGTGTTCATGCACCGAAAAACCTTTAAGACCTTCAAACAGGACAGTCGATCGTATTACTTTGATGGTTTCCTTAAACATTCAGATTACATACCGATCCATGAACATGGACATTTCATCAGACTCCGTGTATTTGTACTGAAACCATGTTTCCAACCAATTCAAAAGCACTTTTCTAAACTCAAACGTTTGGTGCTTGGCTGTCAATTCGAAGTGTCATCCATGGGTTAGATTCTATGTCTATTTTTGCTAAAGTAGCTACTGTGATATTCTTGAAAAGTTATTAAATTTCTTTGAATGTGCTTCTATTTTTCCAAAGAGTTCGTATATTTTCTCTTTCATTTCTCGATGCTCGTCACACTGAGAACTGTTTAGAACCGCCCTGTGATCCTGAAGATGCTGATGTAGTCACTAGTACGTGTGTCCCACACAAAAGTGTACAAAATGACATCGTAGCATGGAAACACGCACACACATTTTTCAAAATGTCATCAGTGGACCCGTTGCAAGTTTCCAAAGTAGATGTTGTTTCAAGCACTGTAACACGTCTGTAATACAATCATTCCTTTCACACAAACCTCCAGGGAGCTCATCTCCATGTGCAGGTTTAATTATGTTCGCACTGTTGCCGACTGCTTGAGGTATCAATCAGCCAGTAGACCGACATATATCCGCCAGAATATCCGATAGTGAGGAAATTGAAAACAACAGCACATTAGTATTGTATGGTAAATAATACGGAAACAGAATTCCTGCAGCGTGCAAGCTTTCATCTGACTTTCTATATCAACAATGGCGACTGACCTACTTTTGTTAGGATATTGATATGCTATGATGTATTTGCAAGAGATCTGCATAAAGTAAATGGATAATTTTATTTGATAATATCCAATTCCAGGAAAAAGACTGTGTACTAGTTACAAATACAATATGTCATATTTCTTATACACTATATACGTATGCATTTGTAGTGTCTTTGCAGGTCGTGTGACTGTTTATTTATGGGACAATATACTATATCACATACCTTAGACAGACCTTGATATGAGGCTATATCAGTGAAGACAAGTGTGTTTATACTATGAGTGTGACATGTTTCTATAATAGAAATCTCTTGTACTGGCCGTTGTCTTATCCTTATCGCCGTCTTTAGCTGATCGTATGCCCAGTGAGATGAAGGCTTGTGTCCCGGCAGCTTCATACGAAAAGCCGTTTTAAAGATGGTGCTTGTTACCCCGTCTGGTGCTCAGCCTTAAAGGGATAATACAAGTACCGGTAGGCTAGGAGTCAGTACAATGTATCTGAGTGCGGTTTCCATCACAAACTGCGGCATGGTACCTCATTGGCCTGGCACTATAAACGTGTTTACTAACAGTTGCACATATACATGCAGGCACGTCGCTATGTAGGTGCCTACTGGCATACTGGGCCTGTAATATTCATGGATTTAGCAGAAAGTGAATTATGGCTTGAAACCGAATATTGGTATTTTATTGGAAAAGCGAATACAAATGTGTGTATAGGAGGTTCCAAAATGGTTATTCCTGGATGGTTATTCATATGGTGAATTTTCAACATCGTTTGTACAAAATACAAATTAACAACAGAAGTCATTTTTTTAAGTAAACACAAAGGAAACATTGAAGTCCCTAAACCAGTGATGTCTGATTGATACATCCCAATGGATAACATGAATTGTACGTCTTCAGGGTCAGCAAATATGTCTAAGTAAAAGAAACAGTCACATACTATGATTAGATATATGAAAACAAGACGTAATGTCGTTTTATCACACGGGGTAGTCGCCGAGGTCGTTGTCCACGTTACCAACGACTATGACAGAATCACAGTCAACAACACAAACAACAGTGGTAATGTGACACTGCAAAGCAGCAGGTTCCCATTTACGCGGTTCTAAACGCTGGTTACACAATTCCAATCCAGCCCCGTACAAACCTCCATTTGATTGATTTGGATGGTGCTTTATGCCACATCCATCTGTGTTGCCCAAGCGGCTGGTAAATAATAGATTGTATTCAGTGAATTCAGCAACAACCCATTCTCTTGGAGTACGACGTAATTAGAACCGTGACGATCCTGGTTAGAATTGATCTTCAGCAACAATGCTTGTCGTAACAGGGGACTAACGGGATCGGGTGGTTAGGTTCGCTGACTTATCAATATTTGACACATGTCATCGTATCCCAGTTCCAAAGATTGATGCTCATTCTTGCATGTGTGCTTCATTTACAGACCGCCGCCATATAACTGGAATATTGCTGAATTCGGTGTTATACAGCAAACAAAGAAATACGACACAACTAATCAAGTGAACCAAGCTTCCTTTTCACTTCTTTCGACCACCAAAGGTTGTGCAGGTCCGGAAGCCCCACGGCGAGACAACATTCGGGTTTCTAAATTGTCCAAAACCCGTGTGTGTATTATGTTTCAGTTTGCCACAGAAAATGCTTACAAACAGGAACAGTAATGGAGTTAATTGTGGGCTCTGATATGCACTGGACATAAATATGTTTGCAATAGTATAGTGTGATAACTTCAAAGACAGCCATGATTGCTGTTTTCCCGGTGACATTGATCTACATATACAATGTCCATTCATGTTGTTATTAACGATAAGGCTTCAAAGGAATGTCAAACAATCCAGACGAGATTGGAGTCAGCAAAATTGGCCGGACTTGTTTTTCCATTTGTGCACCTTACATCCCCAAATACTAATTAACCTCGTATGAGGGATATGGATTTCATGTCTTAGGACAATCTTAGGACATTTTTCAAGCAGATCATAATTAGTCCCCATTCAAGGCAACTTTCGCGTGTTATTTGTCATCCCAACTTTCCACTGCTTGGCGTAAGAGGCGGCGAATGTAGTATACCATCCTTTTTTTTCCATTTGTGCACCTTACATCCCAAAATACTAAGTAACTACGTTTGAGGGAGGTGGATTTCATGACTAAGGACATTCTACGTGAATGTGGTTTTCTGTTCCTGTAGATCCTGAATACTTCCAGGCTGTATGTTCAACTATTACGCCGTTTTTCAAGCAGATCACAATTGGTCCCCATTCAAGGCACTTTGCCACTTACTTGGCGTAAGAAGCGGCGAAAGTAGTACACCATTCCTGAAGATGGTGGAATACTATGAGGTATTATAAATAACTGTCCAAGGTTATTGAAGCTGTCCTTAAATGCTCTTCCTTCCAGTTCAAGATCCCGTGGGAATTTGGGATTGTGGGTACTCCCATAAAACGATGCTTGTCGTAATAGGCGACAAAACTATTAAACCCATTTCGATTCCGCTTTAGAAATTGTCCCTGGCAATCTAGTATTCCATAAATGAGACGGATCGAGTGGTCAGGCTCGATGACCTCGTAACGTCGACCACTTGATTGCATTGATTATTTACAGTCCGCCGTCATATAGTAGGACAGGTGCTGAATGTATAGTTACAGTGCCTAAAGCATATTTCTGAATTGCGTCCCTCATGCTCAAGACAAGTTTGACTCAGTTCAGCAAGGTTTAGCATTATGCAGATTCTGTGTTCCCATCGGGGTCTTTTTCTTACACCACCTTGTCATTTTGGTTCTGATGAGGAAAGTACTTAACAAAGTACACGTGAAGTAGGCAAATCCCTTAAAAGGGTTTGCTGAATTGCGTTCCTAATGCTCAAGACATTTTGACTCAGTTCGGCGATGTTTGACATTATGCACATTCTGTCGTCCAAGAGGGGCCCTGAACTTGCAGAAACATTTTGTTCTGTTATGGGAAGGACTTAAATCCATGTTTGATAAAGACATTTAGCTTGTTTCAGTATTGTCTATTCACTGAAGCTGTGGCTTGATTGTATTTGCTGAGGGAACATAGCTAGAAGTTGAACAGAAGGCAAAGGCTAACATCTTGCCCTTCCATCAGGAATAGCAAAGTGATGACAAAGGAAACCATTTCGATGGCCTCGCTATCTTTTGTTTGACCACAGTCAGCCGAACAATCTTCATCTGAGCGGAAAGTTCTTAAGTCAAGACAGAGAAATGAGATTGCTGTTTAGTTGT